TCTATTCTATTCTATTCTATTCTATTCTATTCTATTCTATTCTATTCCTTATTCTATTCTATTCTAATTCTAATCTATTCTGCATTCTATTCAAACCTTGCATTTCCCATTTCCCATTACTTTCCTCCTAAAAGAACTTCTTGCTCCCCAAAACAGGCGAATTGCATGGCCTGGAATATAGGCCAAAGACAGATAGCCTTTGAGCTACAGAAGTTTCATTTAATGACCGCTCAAAGTTACAATGGCGTTGAAAAAAAAAAAGTGACTTAGCACCATTTTTCACGCTTACAACTGTTGTAGCTTTCCAGTGGCCGCGTGAACAAAATCCAGGCTCTTGTCCACTGACTCAGATTTATCCTGGGGGTCAGGTGATCTCCTTTTACGACCTTCTGACAAGCAAAATCCACGGGGAGGCCAGGTTTAACCTCACAACTGTGTTGCTAACATAACAGTGGCAGTGATTTGCCTAACAGTGGTGGCAAGAAAGGTGTTAAAATGGAGCTAAAATTCTGATATTCAAATACATTTCAGGAGCAAAATTCGCTTCATCACTGTTTCAATTAGCCAGGGACATTTTGGGCTCATTTATAGTCCTAAGTGAAGGATTACCTGTATCCTTTTTATTGTCTTATTTGGTTGGGAATTTCTGGCTCTTAAAGGCTTCGTGCCACAAAACATAATCATTTTTTAAAATACGCCACGGTTCAAAAATCGTGACCAGAAAAAAATAATCCCTTCCTCTGCAGTACAGAAAGTGCCAGGCTGTTCTTGAACGACAAAACGCACCACCAGCAAAAAGGCAGCCAAAGTTTTGTCCTTAGAAAAGTAAAGCGGCGATTAGAGATAAATATCTAAATTAGAGGAGGGATTCCAACAGGGCTTCGATTTATAATCAGCCACTGAAGTCACACCTGGTTCATTTGAAACCTGATTTTTTTTTTTTTTTAAATTGAACGGGCTGGAAATGCAATTGTCTTTGTGTTTTATTGTAGATAAAGTTTTAATTCTCTCCACTTGAGTATCTAAATACGGTGGTTGTCAGGACGGAGAGCCTTTAGGCTTTAGGTGGGTCCAAGATAACCGCTTATGTGTCAGAGATAAGTGTTCACTTGAGGGGGGGGGCGTAAATAAACTGGTATCTTCCTTATGTTGCATAATGTTGTGCAAACTACAGGTAGAAGGGAATATTTTTAGCTCAGGGTTGAACTGTGGGCTCCTTGGTGCTTTCTGAACTTGGTGGGCTTTTTTTTACAGATGTTTCATTTTCCAACTAGGTAACATCATCAGTGGTAGTGGAAGGTGGGGTTATCTTATTTTTATACAGTTGAGAACCACCAAGAACACTCCACACCATAGCCGCTCTCCTCTCCTTTCCATTAATAATATTGAATTCAATAATATCGAATTGCTAACTAGGGCATTCAAAACCTTTGCTAGACCAACACTTGAATACAGCTCATCTGTCTGGAATCCGCACTGTATATCGGACATTAATACAATTGAGAGAGTCCGGAAGTATTTCACGAGAAGAGTCCTCCACTCCTCTACTCGCAACAGAATACCTTATGCCTCCAGGCTTGAAATATTGGGCTTGGACAACCTTGAACTACGCCGCCTACGGTTGGACCTAAGTGTAGTACACAAAATTATGTGCTACAATGCCCTACCAGTCAATGACTACTTCAGCTTCAACCTCAACGAGAGCACACAACCGATACAAACTCAATGTAAACTGCTCCAAACTTGTTTGCAAAAAGTACGACTTCAGCAACAGAATGGTCAATGCTTTGAACTCTGTTGTTACATCCTCTAACCTCCACTCCTTTACTCTTAAACTATCCACTATTTACCTCACCCCATTCCTAAGAGGTCTGTAAGGGGCGTGCATAAGCGCACCATCGTGCCTACCGCCCCTGTCTTATTGTCCCCGTTTATTTGTACCTATTTCCTGTATTCTTACTCGTGTTTATACTTATACCTATTATCTTGTAAGCGATTGACAAATCAAATCAAATCAATCAACCAGTAAATGGTTTCAAGAAATCAGTAACACGTTTCCACGGTCCTATCGACAGCAATGTTGCCCTGGTTTTTATTCCCAATAGGATTCTGATTGCTCATCCAGAAGTCTTCCAGGCCCAAAATCTCATGGTCCATCCATCTTGTCAGGAACTTCTCATCACCTGGGCTCAGCAGCCCGGAACAAGATAAATAAATAAATAAATAAAGGCTAACAGCCAGATGGATTTCATTAGTCCATTGATTCTTTGTTTTAATTATGTGTCAGCTCGGCTACCGTGTAAGCAAATGGTTGTTGCGGTTGGTTTTATTTAAAAAAAAAAAGACAGAGAGGCAGACAGATGAATCCAGGACATGATTAAAAAAAAAAAAAAAGAAGAAGAGGAAGAAGAAGAAAAAGACACACTTGGGGAAATTGTCCCTGCACACAAACACGGCGTTTTCTCCCAGATTGAGTTAGGCTGACAGCAAACAGCTGGAGGTTTCATTAGCGGGCTCGGTGATGCATTGCTGCATTTGCCGGAATCAAGTGCTGTGACACGAGCCACCTTTCCTGCAGATGTCAAACAGCATCTTCGCCAGTCGGCGTTAAGCGGAATAGTGGTCAGCTCCGACCCGGTGCAGCGACCGGGTTATTGTAAGACCGAGAGTAAATTGCTAACGGTTTGCTCTTTTCATGGGGATGGAGCGCTCTCGGTGTTTCAAAATTATCAGAAGGGTGCTAAGAGTTCAGGTAGAATAGCAATATATGTATGTATGCATGCATGCATGTATAGGAAGGAAGGAAGGAAGGAAGGAAGGAAGGAAGGAAGGAAGGAAGGAA